CTCTGGCAGGGGGATTGGACTGAATGATCTTGCAAGGTCCCTTCCACCTCCTAACATGCTGTAATTCTGTGTAAAGGAAAACAAATCTCTCTAAGTAGTCAAGTCAAGATAAGGCCCAAATTAACGAATGTATAATTAATCTTTGTTTTTAAATCTGCATCAAGATTTAAAATTTGAAAGCTATGACACCATCAAATTATTATTTTAAATTTTAGCCTACTGTTGTTTACAAAAGGCATGTTTTTTCTCCAAATTAAAGACTGTCAGGGTAAGGTTTCAAAGCCTTCTCTGCACAGTAAGCACTTTCGAGCCTTTTTTGGCGGGCTACAAGATGGACAATAGAATCAAGAGTACATAATGAAATATCACAATGTTAATTTGTTTGGGGATCTGTAAAACTGAGCTGAAATACACACGAGCATTTCCATGTGGACAGCACAGCAAAGGCAAAAATCGAAAAACATGACAGCATTCTACCAAAGAGTGTGCAGAAAAAAAGAGATACTTCAGTGAGTTCAAAGCTTTGTGTATCCAATCAGCCTCATCTGCTGGGGAGCGTTTGGGATCGTTCACCTCTGGTGGCATCGGAGACTTCTGCAAGGACACGTTGCAGAAAGAGCCCGCAGCACCAAAGGATTAGGACTGCATTAGTTCAATAGAAATTTCAGTCTGTTATAGAACTGTCTAACATACATGGGAGAGTCATTCCACAAAAACACCACAGAGGCAAAAACTGTTGGAGCTCAAGAAATTCTGGAACAGGCACATGCAATTTCCTATTCTAATGACCATCTTAATTATCTATCTGCTGTAAGAGGAATATTCTGCATTAAAAACATAAGCGGAGATGTTCTCTCTCAACACCAACACCTGTTACTTTCTTTTACTTTTCTTTCTTCAGAGGAAAATGTCAGCAACTGCTTCCAGCATGAGAGTTTTATTTGACAAGGAACTTCAGAGCTGTTGTGAAGAGCTTTATTCTAATGCACACTCTTAAAAAGCTAAACTTGGCCTTGCACCTGGAGGAGTCGGATATGAGCCCAGGAGTCAGCCAGGCCAGGCCAGCTCTACAGTTGGATTGCTTGTGTTTCTGGACACAGTCACCACTGTCTGGGTTGGTGTGCACGGGCTGAATTACACTTGTAGTAACATGCATGGAGTGCACAGAGTTCAGGCGCTGACTGCTCCATCCCTTTTATCCACGTGTGTGCACATCACTGATGCCCATTCTTTCCAGAGCAAACCTCCACCACCAGCACTGTGACCAGACCTCATTTCCCTCTCCTCTTTCTTTTGACCAGCCTCCACTGTGACGTTTCTTAAAGGGTCACACAGGAGAAGCTCAGTGTTTCTCACTTCCTCCGGTGTAGAAAGAAAGGGATGCTTTATTCCAAAGTACAACTCTGAAACCTAACGTACCCAGTAACCATGGCATATAATGGGAAACAAGAATTGGATCCCAACTCCCCCTTACCCCAAAAAGACAAAGTCTGAATGACCACTTAGTGGGCTTTGTCTTTAATTAAATATCACATTAGTCAGGGAAAGCGTTTCTGCGTTGGTAAGAATTTCAGCTTTAGGTGGATTTCAGATTAGGTCCCAAGACCCAGATCCCCTGAAGTGTCCACAACAACTCTTCAAAGCCAGCCATAAATTACCTCAATCTGCTGAACTGTCAGGTCCAAGAAGGTGTTCTCATTCCGGACGCCAATAAGACTTTTGGGGCCTTTACAACCCATGCTTGTGCCCAAGCCACCATTTAGTTTCACAACCACCAGCTTGTTCAAGACAGAAGCAATGTTATCAGGGAGTCCTCTGGCCTTTATCTTCTCATAGGGCTGGATCTGTTGGGGTTTTTTTGGTTGTGGTTTTTTTTTTAAAGAAAAAAAAAAGCTGTTAGATATTTGGAAGAAAACTGCTTTCCCATAAACCCCTGCAAAACTTAAAATTTAGCAACAATACCCACATTTATTTACATGATTTATGACACTAAAGAACATTTGCAAAATGAGTCTAGCATAACCTGATTTGTTACAATACAAGGAACCCAATTTGTTACTACAATAACCTCTTCCTCCTGAGAAGTTTGAGACTTCCTGACACAAGTCACAATCAGCTTCACTCAGATGAAAAAAAAGTCTCTGTCTGCGCTTCCAGGTAGAGGAAACTTACTCAGTCATAAGGAAGAAGTCAGGCCAGTCATGCCACTTATCTTCCCCTTGCCTTGCAGGAGAGGGGATCTCCTTGTGAGCCCTCCAACTCACTTCCCCAGCAAGATGCCCCCTTCAGCCAGACCATGATTTAGGAACACGGGCCCTACATGCAGGACATAAAACTTTTCTTCCCTGAGCAGCTGAAACTTGCAGATTTGTATTGACTCTTTGCACCGAGGTTGTCAGAGGCCGCATTCTTGGCAAAAGGTTCCAACTCCTCATCCAATATCATAATTCACCTCTCCCAATAGCGTGCTACAAAGTGGAAGAGAGCTCCTAGTTCTTATCTTGCTATTTTCAGGATGTGCTCATCCAGCTCACATTACACCTTGCAGAAAGTCTTCTACCTTGCTGAAAGCTATATCCTACAGGCTTAAAAACAGGCTACATTTGGGGCTAGTGACAGAGAGCAAAATCAGGCTTCTAATGACAGCGTGCCTTGCAATAGGCATTGCTTGTCTCCTAACCCAAAGCACCTAAATCAAAGAAACAAAGGTAACAATGCAATGATAAATATCACACCAAAACTGTTAAAGCAAAATCAACACAATTATCCTTTAGCCTGCCCTCCTAGAGATTTTCTTTTGAAATAAAGCCTTGGTGTTCCAGTGCTGTGTGTATTCTAGCAGCAAGAAAACAATTTCAGTTCTGATAAGGTGTGTGTAAGATCCAAGCTGGTTTCCAAAACCAAATACATACAGAGTAGTTTTCAGAACCGTGTTTGCTTTGGGCAAGTCAGGCTAGGGTTCAAGTGGGGAAATTCACATTGCACTGGAACAAGAGTCATATTTCTTACTCGGATGTGTGGGGGCAGAGCACAGAGAGCTTGCGCAATCCCAGCATTCCAGTAAGCCACAGGCAGCATATTGAGAGCCAGTCCCTCACACCAGGGAAATTCTGCCTTACGCAGGATCTGGGAAGCTTGTGTTTACAGATAAGATCACCCCGCAAGTTACAGCGTAATGACTAACTAAACTCTCCTTTCTCAAACAGTGGAAATTGGCCCAGGAGGAACATCTCGATGCAATTGCTTAAACCAATTCCATTTAGAAAAACTTCCCAATGTGTAAGATACGTACACCAAAAAAGCAAGCAATTAACTTAACAGCCCTACTTCCTCAGTAAATTATTTTTAACAAATATGAAAACATTAAATATAAGAATAGTACCAGATTCTCTGTGGAAACACTCTAGCTGTTGAACATTAAAAAATGTATGTCAATGTTGTGACTTAATTTTTGGCTCAGTGGGCAGTGTTACTGGGGAACAAGACAAATTTTGATAGCTTTGCTGCTTGTTTCTAGCAGGTACTGGGAGCACAGGTACCTCCAAGTATACTGTTCTAGGAGAAGAGGTGACATCCAGACTTACTTGTGACTATATGCTAAGATTTAACCAATACGGTAAAGACAGAAATGTTTCCATCGACATGCTCTTAATCAAGTTCATGCATTTCCACCTACCAAGTAAGTTCAGACTTAGCTGTACTTCTCTGTGTTTCAACAGCGGTAGAGGTTGCTTATGCCAAAAACCCCTAAGACAGCTTATGCAGGTAAGGGGCCTTAGAAGCAATGCACAGATTATCCTAAGTGCAAAGTTATCATCACAGTCAAGATAAAATTTAGCTTGTAAAAGTAAGAATGAAAAGGAAAAAATATCTTATGTATTTAAGCTACCACTTTTCAGCTAAGTCACAGCCACAGACATAGTAGTTAAACAGCTTTTATTTCAGTCTTCCAGAAGGCTGGGAGGCTGGGGTTATCATGGCTCAGGCAGCAAGGAGTAACACAATCACCGCTGCAGTCATCTGCTAATAAGAAGTTCTCCTTAGAGAAAGCAATGAGCTGATTAAACAAAGCAGGTGATGTTGGCATGCTATTTCCCCTTTAATCTGCAGGGAACACTGGCCATAGAAACAAGCAGCCATTTTAGTCATTGACAAGCACACAGATTTGCCAGTAAAATCTGCAGGGATCAATAAAGGACAAGGGAGTAGAGATTTGCCAGCCAAGGCTTTAACTTGAATGTCAGCCTTTGGACAACCAAAACTTTGACCCCTGGAACTTCATCTATGTCACCACAATTCAATTCACACATCTAAGAGAGCAAGCTTTCAAACCAGGTTTCAGGGAGTCCCAGCATTTTGACAGATACTGTCTCAGTTTCAGCTTTGTATCGTAAGACTATGAAATAAAACACAACACTTAGACAAAAATGCATTACTCAAGAGACTCATGTAAAAGTGTACTACATCAAAATGATTGCCCTGGATTTCTGCTACCTTGAACTGAGAATAAAAAACAGTCTCCTTCCTTGTTAACTAGCTGGTTAAAAACCAAGCCCAAGACCCCTTCATTAAAGGGGCTGACAGCTTTAAATGTGTGGCTTAACTGATAACTTCACAACCAGTCATGAATCATTTATGCAAACTCCTGTTATAGACCAAATATGTTACTGAAAGGTTTCTTAGTCAGGAGACCACTTTGCTAGGGAAGCAATGTGGTAAGGTCTTCCCATTCCAGCTCTCTCATGTGAGGGTGTGACAGCACACATTTTAGGCAAAAAGGTTCTTTATCTAGCGGTATCAAGAAATTAAACAACTGTTCCAATCACAATTAGTCACACAGTGCCTAGAGATAACAGGATTGTGTCATATATTACTCCAAGAAACACAGGCAGTGGACGAAATATTAAGAGCAGAAGGGAAATATCCATTTATTTTTGCCTTGCTTTTTTCTCTCCAGATTTGCTAATTACAATCTCTGACCAACTGCAGCCTTCTCCCACTCTCCCTTTTCTGCCCCAAACCCTGGCACAGCTTCCTGCCTCCAGGTTATAAATTCAGCTCAACTGCATCACCCAAAGATGACAACAGGTTGAAATAAGTAAGGAAGAGCTCAGCTGAGGTTGATAAGAAGGGAGAAGGTGGAACATAAGGTGACACCTAGAAATGAATGAAGTCCCAGGACAGATGGGCAAAAGATCCTAAACCAGACCTGAAATAACAGGAAATAAAACACCAAGCAAACTGTCAGTTTTCTAGTACAAAACTCTAGCACCAGGCTCGGGCATGAGTCTTCACAGAAGGTAACAGTGATGCCCAGTAACACAAGCATCAAACAGTACATCTTATCAAAACATTCCTCTTCACATTTTAATTTAACAGCAGCGTTTTGGAAGCATCTCCACAGTCCCACTTCAGCAAAGGCTTAAAAGATGTGTAACCCAGGATAAGCAAAATCAGGAGCTGCCAAACGTGGTTCCAGAACAGTTCAGGTGTGACTGAGCCCCAGGATCAAAGCCCCATCGTGGTGTAGCCCAAATGCCTAGCCTGCCTGGATGGCTGTGGTGTGATTCGGCCCTACAGCCAGGTCTGTGCCCTACCAAGCCTGCTCTGCACCACAGTGCTGAACCCTGGGGAGCAGGCACTGGTTACTAATCTTGAACTCCTCTTGCAGCATTTGCCCTTAGGTCTCTGAGGTAAGGATCTTAAAAAAAGAGTTGGGAGCTCAGCATCCTGGGACACCTACAAAATGAGTTTGAGTGTTTAGGCAGCAATCTGTTGTTACTCCTCTTTTTAATGCAGCAGTTTCATTCATAAAGTCTAAAAAACCCACAAAAGATCTTTAAAAAGTTTAATTCTAGGAAGACTTTTGGTAAACAAACAGCGACATCTGCACTCATATGAGGCTGTAATGTTACATGAGGAAGATGAAAAACATCTTGGAACAAACCAGTAGCTGTTGATTTGTTTTTGAAGTTGCACATCCTCCACACCAAAGATGTACAACAACACACCAGCCTTGATGTCTCCTGCTCCTTAAATGGGTGAAGAGGGAACAGAACCCAGAACCAATTTGGCAATGGTTACACTGTTTCCACAGAGTCTGTACTCTTCCTCCACCCCCCAGAAGTTGTAGGAGGTGTATGACTGGAAAAGTCAAATCAGCAACAGCAGCTTAATAAGGAAGTGTAGCTGTAAGGTGAGAGACCAGACCTATCCACCTGGGAGGTTTGAAGGAAATATCCCTCCCAGCTCTTCTCCACTCAGCGATGGCAGGAACCTTATTTCTCTGAGCATTCTCAAATTCTGCTCTTCCTCCTCTGCAAGTGGAGCTTGCTCTCCAAAGCCCTGAGCTGTGCTTATGTCACCAAAGGTTACTTAGCTACTAACACTTGTCACTTGCATCTGTCCTGCTTTCCAGCACAACTCTGCCATGTGCATAAGCAACAGCTGAAAGAATACCAGGATGAGAAGGTCACTGAGTTGGGGCAGCTGTAGCAACCTTGCTAAACATCATGTTGAAGCCACTTCCTAAATGCTCACATCTACCAGTCTCAAAAAGGACCATTTCAGATTGCCCACACAAGCACTTTATGTTATAGAGGAACACTACAGCCCTTCATCAGGAAACTTGACTGGTAATAGAGTTATTCAGCTAAATTAAGACAGAGAAAGCTTTCAAGTCTGCAGAGTTGTTTTATTTATAACTTAGTTGAGAAGCTCATTTCTTCCAGGAAGTGAGGTGCAGAGAACTAGGAGGGGTAAAATTAAAACAAACAGAAAATATACGTACACAGCTTATCATATATGCATGTGCTGTGTGTACACACACAATCACACTCTTTGA